AAAAAAAAAACAGGAACAAAAACAAAAACAAAAATAAAAAACCTTCGGACGAACTTTATAGTTTCCAGATTGCTCATAGTGGGCAGAGGTGTTCTCACCAAGCACAAGAAAGAGTACGTTAGTAAGTAATAAATGCTTAAATAGAGAGCCACGTTTTGTTGATCCGAAAATAATACGTATATAAATAATAAATGCCCATAAATGCCTACATAAATCATAAAGTAATATTGACCAGGAACTATGCTCCCAAAAAGAGTATGTGCGTGTGTGTGGAGTAGGAGTGGGGAGGGTGGGGGAGGGTTTGTTGAAGCAAGGGGGGAAATGTGGTCGGGGGCGGTATTTCCGAAAAACCCTCCATCTGTAAACATCGAGTTTCATAAAAAGTTAAAAGATATAAAAATTAAGACTTATGCCTATTGCTAATGTTATATGTCAAATGTGTAGGCTACCGTGGGCTACGAGAACTGTTATTATTTATCCAAGTAGATACATGTAACGATTTATTTGTGCGCCTCTGGATGAACTCGCATCCCAAGCGTAGTCGCAAGTCCTTTTCAGACTGAGCCGACAGTGTGAGCTGGTGGGGGAAATGAGCAATCGCCGCGCGCGCTCAGCCAGTGCGCTTGGCGACCTCCCCCATTGCCGTTTGAAACATCGCGGTGCCTGCCACAGCGGGAAGCTGGTCACGGGATTTTCACTTCTGGAAGAAAAGTGGGAAAGAAAATCAGAAAACAACGGCAAAAACAAACAAGCTAAAAGTACCTAAGAAGAGTTGAAAACGGCAGCTAAGATAGCAAGGAATGATATGGCTGTTTGTTTTTCGCTATATCAATTTTTCATTTTGTGATTACAAATTTATTTGTTTGGAGATACGTTAATTTATTCTGTGCTCTGCGCTTTAACTTTAAAATGCTGTTTAGGTCCATTGTTGTTCATGGAATTGGCTAGACACTACAAGTCTGGCTGATGGAGGCCTCGTATCCTTGATCTGTGGGAGACAATGAATGGCTCCTGTTTGTGTATATTTGTCTTTGGAGTATTCGGGCGATTAATTGCCTGAGAACAGATTTTCTGCGGCTTCCGGCATTTTAGGAAAGACAGGTGAGGAATACGGCTGTTTGTACAATTCGACATTGACCTGAATGGCGACGAAACGCACGCGGATTTCTGAAATGGTTACACTGTGGCTCCGCAATGAAGCATAATAAACACTTCGATATTCATAGCACTAATAATATTAGGTCTACCTTTGTGAAGGACTTATCCCTTTCATGTATGTGAGCGTCGTAATACTATTAACGGAACAGTAACGTTTACACACCGAAGAAAGGCACAAAAATACAAACGCAGCGCAGTGATGAACGTACACAGATACAAGCGAGCCCTCGAAAAGTGCGAAACGGCCATATACATATGATGTACTTTGATCATGCCATTCACACATTTTTCTCTCTCGACCCCCCCCCCTCTCTCTCTCTCTCTCTCTCCCTCTCTTTCTTTCTTTCTCTGTCTTTCTGTCTTTTTCTCTCAGTTCTCTCTCTCTCTATCTTTCACCCCCTCTCCTCCCGGTCTCTCTTTCTCGCTCTCCCCCCCCCCTCCCCCTTTCTCTCTCTCACATCTATATCAAGAATAACCTCTGTTACTCCTTGTCCATCACAATCTTACTTACTTTCCCCAGTTACTCTCTGTCCATCACAATCTTACTTACTTTCCCCAGTTACTCTCTACCCATCACAATCTTACTTACTTTCCCCAGTTACTCTCTGTCCATCACAATCAGACTTGTACTTACTCTTCCCTGTTACTCGCTGTCCATCACAATCATACGTACTCCCCCTCATCACCTTCCACCTAAAGCGTGTTTTATCCCCGCCTTCGTAAACACACACACAAACACGCACACACAAACACACACGCGCGTGCGCGCGCGCGCGCACAGGTTACACTTGTGCGAACACACGTTTACACAAAATTACACTTAACCAGACAGACAGACAGAGTACATACAGGCAGACAGACAGATGAACAGAGACAGACAGAACATTAAATAATAACATCTTTCCTGGAGATTTACCCATTTTTAGTTTTGATGCTATTGTTTCTCCGGTTTCTTCTCCTTATTGGTTGGAACAAGGGAAGGCTCATAACATGTACGACTTACGAAAGCAGAAAGCTGGTGATGGATGATGATGTTGTTCTCACTACAGCTCAGACATCAGCATCTCAGAGACAAAGCCGACTTTTGTAATCAGTTGTGAACATACATGTCGGCTACATTACTATATATGTATACAGCTTCGTGGATGCCTCGGATACATATTTTGAAAGAGAGAGAGAGAGAGAGAGAGAGAGAGAGAGAGAGAGAGAGAGAGAGGGAGGGAGAGAGAGGGGGTAGATAGATAGATAGGTAGATAGATAGATAGAGATAGATAGATAGATAGATAGATAGAGATAGATAAAGAC